TGGTAGGGTCGTCTACATACTTCAGTCGGTTGTCAATACCACCAGCGGCACCGTTAACCAAAGCCAGGAAAGCAACCGTGCCAACTAAGGTGCCTTGCGGAGTGCCGCATGTTATAGTTCTCCAACGACTCATGGTTCCATCTGGCATCTTGACCCGCTGCTCTCGGTCCTGCAAGAATGAGCAAAGCTACTTTGCATACCCGGAGCGAAGTCCCATTGCAAGCATGTTCTTGATAACTGTTGTGTGATCAATGAGGTCAAACCCCTTCTTAAAATCGTACATAACCATAGAAAATAATCTGTGTGCTTCGTCTATTTCCGTCAGCAAATCATGCAACAACATAATCAAATAGTGTGACTTTGAGGCACCTTTCATATTTTTATATTGGCGCTTATCCATGCTTGGTTTTATATCCACCAGAATTCGCGGAACAACATTTTTTGTTCCAAAACCTTGCTAAAAGTTGGTGTGAGGCTTATCGGTCTCAGATCTCCTGGCAATTTGGGCGATGTTTTCTTTGGCACAGGGGTGATTGTTGTTCTCTGTCACACCAATGGCACGCATCTTTCACGCAATGATCGCTTGAAAATATGAGTAAATGGTACGGCCAGTTCCACAGAAAACTCTTTTACTAGCCGCACTGGAAGTTGTCCAGTGGGAACAGCCATATTTTCTCTCAACTGCGATAGTTGAAAAGCAGCTTGCCACGGCTGTTTCTCAGCAGGAATGCTATTGGCAGGCAGATAGCAGGGAAGCTCTTCTGTGCGCGGCGGTCCATATGTTGTGCATATTTCTGCCAAAAAATTATTTACTAATTCCGATTTTGGTTTATCGTCATTGGCTTCCGCAAGATCAAGGCTCCATGATTTTGGTTTTCGGCTGGTTAAGTTGGCTTCTTGTCCGTACCAACAACCTCTTCGGTCAGAAGCAATTACTTGGATTCGTTTCCTGTGACATGCCGTTTTTGCAGCTGCAATCTCTAAGCTTATTTTGGCTCTAAGTTTTTATAGTCTCTCCATTTGATGACGACTGTGCGCCCTATTGCGTTTGTTTATCAGTTCTTTGAGGCGCTTTGTCATCCACTGCGGCTCGCTTGTCTTGCATTTATATTTAATTTCAGGGAAGTGCTCCTCGTAAGCATTTTGAAGTAGCAGTTCTAGTCGAGCAGCAGCTTGGTCTATATCATTTATTGCTCTGCTATTGCATCTTGGCAGTCCTGGCAGCAAATTTTTCTGCCAAAACTTCTGATGGGTGAGCCCTTCAAAGGCCGTACAAAGTCACAGCCTTGAGATTATTCCACTTGTTTTGCAGCCAACCATACGATAGTTTTGTGGTCTGTCGTACCAATGGGTAATAGGTTTAGTGGTGCGCTTGGAGAATCAAAATCAGTCAGTATCTTGTCCAGTACGGCTGAACCTTTTGTGGGCTCCGTAACTATTTGCGAGAGAGCCAGCTGACGCGCTAACAATTCTGCACCAAAAATTTTGTTTGTCTCCCGCCAAGCCAGTTTTTGCTCTTGGCCTTGAGGATGGAAGACGATCAAGTATTTCCAGAAGGTGGCTAGATAGCATTTTCCGGCGACAGAATGATGCATCAGGAGGAAGGTAAACTCCAGCTACTATGATGCTGTCGGGTTGCAAAGGTCGAATGATGTTCCAGCAAACGTCCAGCTCGTCCGGGACTTTAATTTTGGCCACTGTGTATGCTAAGTCATTTGTTATGTACATGGCGACTACTCCATCCTTACTTCTGTTGACCGTCAATAAGTCTCTGTCACGTCGTAGTACTGCATATCCTGCTTGGAAAATTTGGTTACCATGGACGGTCTTGCCCAAATGGGTTTCTGTGACTATTGCTACACCTATCTTATACTTGTGCAACATCATGCCAAGCTCAACTTGCATAGTGGATGTACAAAGTCCATTCACGTTGGCCGTAAGAAAACTTAGATTTCCGGAAGGCTTCGAGTCAAGTGATTTGTTCTCATGAAATTGATCCGAAGCAGATATCAACTTATCATCTGGTCTAAAAAACCAGCGCTTGGCTGATGATATTCTGTGATATGTTTCTGGCGCCTTCAAACGTGTATAAGATACCTGTCTTGTTCAGGCCTCCAAAAACGCACATCAGTCTTGGCCGCATATCTATGAATCCTACTCCATGGGTGACACACAGCTGGTTGAGTTCACTGTTGACGGTTTTTGCTGTTTCATAAACCATAGTGCCAGTGTGCCGTCTCTCTCCAAGCGAGCAAATGAAGACTCGTTTGATATTTTTCAAGGACTTTGCATGGTTGATAGTACTGTTTATGCTCTCCAGAACATAATCTGCACTATGATTCAGCTCATCGTCGGCCCCGATGTGGACCACAACACCTGCTTCGTTTGCTTTATTTCTTGTGACCGCGCTCTTTAAACTCTCATCAAGTTCATCACTCGTCGTTGTAATAAAAGATGCGTTTTGGTCGAAAATAAACTCTTCCATGGCCTCTGCTTTGAT